GACATCTTGCTGCTGCTTTCTTCACATCTATACTGCTCTGCTGGATGCAGCATAGCTCTGAAGAAGGTCTAAACGTCAGAACAATTGACCGAGACGCGGCTCATCCCGGAGAGCCAAGAATGTATTGCTCTGATATGGTTACTGTGTCCGTAAGTGGAGAGCATGTTGTAGAAGAGAGTGACGTGGTTTTGATCCGGTCGAACGTGAAACTTCATGCCGACCTGTTCGCACGTCTTTCCCCTCCAGGTATCTTCTCGCTTCAGTCGGCGCAACCTCTAAACTCTTGATAATTGAGGTCCTGATTATTACAATAGTGCACTGCATACATGCGTGTATGAATGTGTGTGTGTGTAAGGGGAGATGAAGAGCAAAAGGAGAAGATAAGAAGTATCATAACAAATGGGGACACGGACGACGCCCTTCTACTTTGAAGAAGGAACCATCACGCATGGTCCTTGGCCCGTTTTTTTTATGGTACTGCTCTGGCATTCGCCCGGTGTTGATCAATTAAACCACTGAAAACTATCGATAAGAATTGCCGGCAATTAGAATTCTCCAGTCAGCTTCTGAATCCAACTTAGCTGACAAGCCAGAGTATCAAAAATTCGCCACTTTCGGTAAACGAATACTAGGACGTTCCGGTTAGAGACACTGTTATGACAACAGTTGTTGTCCAAAGCTATCTCAGTTGGTCAATGTCTCGGACAACCCATCGGGACCATATAATTAGCGCAAGTAGTGGAGGTATTTAAACTAGTAACATTTTCAAACTGATTGTCATATTTTTCATTAAGTTCCTGCGAAGAACTAACATTTTCGCTCTAAAACTAACTCCAGGAATTTCAAAATTTACTAGTTCAACGCTAGCTAGCAAAGAAACAGATGCACCGGGATGGCCAGGCACGAACCCTGCACCTCACTTTGTGAAGCGCGTATGTCGGAGGCGGCCAGCGATTTCTCCTAGGCGAGTAGGCCACTGGTGTCCGGCTGGTGTTTTCGGTTGCGTCAATTTAGTCGCTTAGTATGTGGTATTAATACTTGATGTAGAATTGTAGCATTGTATTGCTGCATTTCCTCCGTAATTAAATGATAGAACACATTCAATATTACTCATATAGGGCAATGAGTGATTGCACGGAGCATTGTGCATGGCATTCAATACATGAGCGAGAAATTAGCAGAAGATTCCATTTCTGGTATTCATTTTTGAGCGAATTTTTTCATCGACAACGAATTAACGACAAAATATAACAACGTTTGAGAATCATTTTTCGTACTTTGTTGACTAACAGCCTATTTGGAAGTGAACTCCAAATTGTAATCTAGAATAGTAGTAGCTCTGATGCAACATTGCTCTGATAGCTCAGGGTTGGAGTAGTAGGTCTCTTATTAAAATAATTACTCGTATTAAATGCTGACCTACACTATTAATGAAGCAAGATTACGAATTACGTATTCACATAATTTAGTGAAACGTAAACAAATTTTTAGTGAACAAAAGTGATTGCACGTGTGTAACGTGCAAAATTCATATGAACGCTCATTGAGGGAGACAAATCAAGTCTCATTTTGTTCGCCACAAGTACAGCTCCGACCCACCCCAGGTAGTACAGCGAGCATCTCAGAACCCCACCAGAACAGAATCGCCAACGTGACAATGGGTACGAGCGGCGCAGACAAGCCGCGCCCCTGGAAATAAAATTCGTCACTAGCGCTAATATTTTGGATCTCAACCTGTCTTACACAATTTCCATCTCCGATCCCAATACACACTTTTCAAGCCACAACTTCACCTACGCCTGTCGCAGTTACCTGGCTGTCCAGTAATAGCTAAGAAATTCGGTAGTGATATCTCTGCGTCAGGAACCAGCCACGATGAGGACCTGCGTATCTCAGCCATTTCTGTCATTTTAGGTCCAACAAAAAGCCATATGCAAGTTTTTAAAGCCAAACAAAGCTATATGCAAATTTTCACTGTTTTCTGCCACGTCACAAAAAGAAATTTACCCTTATTATATATCGTGGAATCAAATTTCACAATAATATCGACTTAGGCGGCTAATGGCACTGCAGCAGATCTTTTCGGCATGTCATTGGGTTCGAGACATGACGATAGCAGGATTTCCGACACAAGATAGATAGCTGGGTCGAATTCAACCGCTGTCTGGAGATGAATTCTAGAGGCTGGCTACACTCATCGTCATCGTTTTCTGTGGTTTCTCCTGTCAACACCAGGCGAATACTAGAACAGTATCCTAAAAAAGGGGCCACGGACAGTGCGCGATATTTCCTTCCTCTTCCTTATTATATTTTTTCCCTTTACATACACACTTACACTTACATTCACTACACTACCGCATTTGCCAAGTGACCTGTCAGAAGTTTAAAGGTTGATCTGGCTGGGTGGTGCCCCGCCTGTGGGAGAGAAGTTTGGGGAAGACCTCTCTAGCGGATCGGCTCCGGATCTCGCCATCCGGCTGGGAAAAATCACCGCTACAGCCAAAAGAAATCATGCACTACACTTACGAGACTAATTACCTTCGGCGTTCACATGCCCGGAATCACTAATCAAACAATCGATCTGAGAGTCTCTCGCGCCTCGTCTTGAACGTCAGGCTTGCCAACCGCCGCTGCGTCCCGCTTCGGCCGGCGTGACCTCATAGAAGAAAGTGACGACCCACGCGGCCTCCGAAATGGGGGCGTCAGTGAAACCGGCTCCCCGCGAAGAAAGTGGCCTCCGACAACGTTCTTGAGAATCACGCCGCTTTCCGGGTGCTCTTGCGCTAACCTTGACGGAAATCGACATTTCAAGGCCAGTTGCTAATAACTCCGAAGGTGGAGGAAAATTAAATTTCCTTCCTGATTAGGTATTTCACTTTTGGTGCATAAGGCAGTTTCAGAATAACCTCTATCTTATATTTGTTATTTATCACCCCAACCAGGTATCTCCCCCCAGCGAGATACCGCCCAAACCGGGACAAGCTCTAAACTGCCGACCGGTCTCCCGCCAGTGTAGTGAATGTTAGTGTGTGTAAGGGATGAGGATACGACACAGAAGTAGGAAAGATCTCGGGCCGTTCGTGGCCCGTTTGTTAGGGTACTGCTCCGGCATTCGCCTGGTGTTGATTAGAGAAATTGCCGATCAGAGCGGACGGCTACTAGAATTCTCCTCCAGGCCCCGACTGAATTCGACCTAGCTATCTAGCTATTTTGTACAATTAGTAGCTCAAATTATCTGCATCATTACTAGACGGCGGATTATCTGCATTATTACTGCAATTAATATCGTCAAAATAGGCATGTATATATACACCTAAAATCAGTGAAATATTATCAAAAACTTGACAAAATGCACAAGAAATCAAAATGCATTATTGAATATACCTATTGAAATGGTTTTTATTTACTCACAGGACATTTACTAACGCGCATTGTTGTAACAATAAACAACCAATTGTTTTCCAATGTTTTCTACTGACATAGATTTTATTTTGTCTGACAGAATGTTTTTGTGACTAGAAAACATGTACGTTCCACTTCGCAAGAAGTTAAGGGGCAGAATTTAAAATGATGCTACTTTGGCATGAGCAAAACCCTTCAGTTCCTTGTCAGATATTCCACTTAGAACTTCACTTACGTCACGAATAATTTAAATGCAGGCATACCTATTTTCTACTTTTTCAATGTTTTTTGGCACAGTGTGTCTAATGACATCTTGTCTAACCTGTTTTTAAACAAATCCTACAGTTCAAAAGCCACCGAAAATGGCAATCCCCTTATTCCAATCTGGTGATTGTCGTGAAGAATTGTTCAAAATGAACTTCAATAAATGCCAACTTGCTCTGGAGACCATCAGCGTTGTACGCTTTTATAGCAGCCGGTATACTTCCAGCTTCCTTTTTATCCTGCATATCCAGTACTTTCTTCATGACATACAAATATTCGCAGTACGAGTGGGCAGATTATATACAAGTTCCTCAGTGAATAAAAATAGATTGATTGAAAGCGCTGACCTGGTAGAAACTGTGTGTAGTGTCTGACACGCGACGTAGCCTTTACAAACACCTTGACTGTTGAAACCCCTGCATTTACTTCCGGAAACTGATGACATATCTTCTGTGCTACTCTATACGGTCCGTGAGCTAGACATGTAATATGAACAACGCTGGGAATAGTCAAATGGTTTGTTTGTTCGATAACTTTTAACATAATCAGATGAGGATTTCCCGGATCACTAGACTAAGATTTTTCTATGACATTTGCAATGTATTTGCCTCACGAGTCAGTTGTCTCGTCGACGGATAGCCAAATGTCAGAATCATCGATGTCGTCTCTAATATCTTGCATTACTTCATTCTACAGAGGTATTTGATATCCATTTCTTAATGTAGGCTCATCAGGAATGTTTCTCTAGTAATACTTCTCCAGGAAATTTCGAAAGTGCTGATTTTTCAGTTTTGTAAACAGAATGTTAGCAGAAACGATGACCCTGTACATACCACTCCACATTACATGCTGCAGCTTCATTGCTTTATTGTT